TGCCTTTGGGGCCTTGCTTTAGTAAGGACTGCCCATAGCTTTTGAGGAACTGTAACATCAGAAAGGAAAATGGCCAACTTACAAAGAAAGAACAGACACAAAAACCATATAAAAAGTACTGATGGGGGTTTGTTCTGCTATGGATTTTTTACTAAACTGATTCAGTGTTTCACAAAATGACAGCATGGTTAAGGATGGAAGGATTCTGGAAGTCATCTTGTCCAATTCCTGGTCAAGCAACACCTCCTGGACTTAGTTGCCCAAGACCATGTCCAGGACCATCCCAAGGATGCAGACTCCGTCACCTGTCTGGGCAGCCTGTGACAGTGATTGGGTCTCCCTCACAATGAAATAATTCCAAACACAGAAATAAGGAACCTCAGCCATATATTGAATTGACCTTTACAGTATTCCACCAACACAAAAATGAGGCTGAAATATTTGACATGATCAATGACTGCCTCGGAAGGTGCACAGCCACAAGAAAGGGGGACACAGGATTGCCGTGAGATTGTACCCGGGTACTCCCCCCAGGTCCGGACCTGATATTGCACACAAGTATGTAGAAGTGCTCCTGAGACAGGGAAAAACACTGGGTAGTAGGGTTAATGGTGTCTGTTACATACTGTGTCTGGCCTTTGATTAAACTGATCACTTGACAAAAAATGATCTCTTCTTGCAGGAAAAAAAAACCCCAAGATTAGGAAACAGTCTAAAGTGATGAGAGCAGACTTTGCAGAAGTTTTCAGATGCTCAGAGCGTTCGGGGAAGCTTTTAATAATGAAATGTTTGGGTGCTGCAGGACAGCTACTGAAGCTGGCTACCTGGAGACATGCTGGTGGCACCTACCTGAATATCATGGTGCTACCTTTCTGGGCAGGATGGAGAGGAGAGGCTGTCTTGCCTGCTCAGAGGGCCTGTGCTTTCTGGGAGATCTGGGAATGAGGAGGGGACTGCACAGGTGCCTGAACATGCACGAAGTTACTCTCAGGTCCAATCTCTGTTAAACATTTGTAGTGACTGATCAAAAGCTTTACAGGGGAGGAAGAAATAGTTCTGCATTTTGTTCAGAACCACATTGCCAGAAAGGTGACTAAGCTACCTGACAACTGTTAGGAAATATGAAATTAATTAATATGTAATTGTGGTCTTGTGAAGTTGCATTTTCAGGGTGCAGATGTTTTGCTTCCACCCATGTCATCAAGTAATAAAAATTTGAATGATCAAAAGGTTATAGTAGAGAAAACCAAAATGAAATAAAAAACACACCAGATTTTACATCTTTTTAACCTGTGTGCTTTGCCCCTCCCTTTATGTTGATTTCTGAGCCTTTAAGGTATAAATGGGACATACTTTTTGGTTTTCTCAGTAGAGTCCTTAAATTACAAAAATTCCATTGATGTAAAAGGTACTTCCTCCTTAAACTTCTTTTTCTGGAGTAGTAGGCTTTGAGATTCTCAAGAGATACATGAATTCCATAGGGGGTAAATTAAATACTGAATGGGCTAAATGAAATCCTGTCTTACAGGTAGATTGGATTGCTTGTAGGCAAATATTTGCATATCTTTTTTCTTGCACATGGCTCTTACCAAGTAGATGGGTGTATTGTTACCCATGGTCAACCCACCGGTATAGTACAGGTATTGTAGGTGGTTTTGTATGTGATGTCTGATTTTTTTTTAAGATCCTTAAACAGTGATGAATACTTGAGTTAGTGCTGATGCCTTCTGAAGTCCTCACTGTCTCTTCAAAAAGGCTGTGCAAGTCCCATTTTTAAAATTACGAAATTTTTTTTTTTTTAGGATTTGAAGACAAAATTTAGGTATCCACTGTGGTAATAGTAAAGAAGTTCCTTATTTTTTAATGGGTTTTTAGTAATAATAATAATTGTAAACCTTGCTTTGACATCAGTAAGAACTTAATGTATGCCATACTAAAAATTATCTTGATAAATTCACTCCCTTAAATGCATGAACACAATCTGATATATTGTGCTGACTACTGGTGGCAGTATCAGCTAAAAAAGCTTAGAAGAATAAACGTGGTTGTTATTAATTTAGGACTCACATGAGATTAATTCGCTTCATCTGCTGCATTATTGTAATTATATACTGTTAGTATATTGACACTACATTGCATCTTACACAAAAATGTGCATTATTTTCCTTATTTTTAAGCAGCTGATTCACCTGAAAATTCATAAACTAATGTAACAGATTTGTCTGGAATAACCATGTCTCTGGTTCCTTACAGCAAATGCATTATGCTGTTGCAGGGAACTTAAGAGCTGGGAATGTGGAGTTAACATTGGCTTCCATCCATGGAACAGACCAAAATCTTTTCAAAGTCACCCTGTTCTCTACCCAAGTGATTCAGAACATTTGGTTTCACTTGCTGGTTTTAAACATTGTTTGCCATCTGTATCCTACTAATAATTTATTTGTACAATAGATGTTAAAAAAGAAAATGCAGTAGACAGTATTAAAGAGAAAAACACAAGCACATGTATGAATATCTTCTTTAGAATAGTTTACGTTTCTTTCTGGTGATGATTTGCAGTGTTTGAGGGAGGCCTGCAGGTTGGTGTGCCTGAAGACACTTGCTGGTGGGATATCCTCGATCTCACGTGACAGTCTTCCCTTAGGCTTTGCATCCCTGTCAGCTGAGCTGGTCATGCTCTTTGCGATCTTTCTGGTAGCAGTGGCCCAGAGCTGCAGAGGTGGCTGGGAGGGGTGGACCTTCTCACTGTGCTGAAGGTACCCTGGTGCTCCGCAGTGCTCTGCACATTTGCAGTCTCTCTGCCCATGCAAATGTCTTTTCACAACTGGAGATTGATCACCTAGTGGGCATGTAGATTAATTTTATTAACACGCACATACTGAATCATTGATTTTGACTTGTGGTTTGATCTTATATTTTTATCTTATGAAAAACAGAAACATTTTATAAATAGTAAATGAAGTGAAAATGGGATTTAAAATTTAATAATGCTATGAAGTATGAAAATCTTGTTATTGTTTAAATAAGTTAGTAATTGGAGGAGACATTTTTTCAAAAATTTTTCAAGATTTTTTCTCTCTAATGACTTTTCCCCTGAATTTTAAAATCTAATTAATTTCTTTTTCTTTGCATATGGTTTATTAGATGTTCAGTTGATAGTTTACAGTTCTAAATTTTACACTGATGGTACAACTGCAGAAATTTGGTTTGTGCTTTAGGATGTAAAACCAGAAAAATAACAATTCTCAGTCCTGTGGAATTGCAATATTTGAGCAAAAGAATCTCTATTCCTGGCTGCATGGGCATAACACGCATTAATGGGAGTAAAGGGAGAACAACCCACCTAGCAATCCACTAATGGGGCTTTCTGTTTATGAGGAAACATAATGAATGACTCATTAGATGATGAAACTACTATGCAGAGAGTCATGGTCCTCTGGGCTTTTCCTAAAGAAGGCTAGTAGGTCATCCAGAGAATCTAGTGACTCGAGCCCTGTAGCTATGGATGGTGCTCAGAGGTTTCTTGAATTGTCAAAATCTGTGGAAATTGGGATAGTGTGTTTCGTTGCTTTGTCGCAAAAATGCAAATTATGAAGTGGAAGTGCTCAAAATTCATAAAGTGAGGCAGGATAGCTGGTGTGCCTTAGTATTGACTTTCTTATAGTTTATTACAAGTGTTTCCTGTATATCTGACAGTGAGTTGTTATGGTCTGCAGTTATGGCGTTGAATGTGTGCTGCATTTTGATTTGAAATCCATAATGCTGTAACAACAAAGTGGTTGCTGATTTATGCATCTGGTTTAATTTTCTGTTGTAAATAAGATGAAGATGAGAGATTTTTTTTTTTAAGTTTGTAGAGGACTCTTATTTGCAAAATCATTTAGTTCTTTACATTCTGCCTTTTGATTTCTCCACCATCGCTTGTGTTGATGTCAGTGGAAGCTTTGTGTCTTGTTTGTGTAGGTATCTCCTACCACTGCTGCAGTTGGCAACTCTTTCAGCACTGAGCACAAGGCTTGTGTTCCCTGACAAATCTCATGGTGTATTTCTGCTTTTCAGTAATAGCCCCTCAGTTGGGTGATAGCATCATATGAATGGGAGCTAAGTTCTTGAGGCCGTTGGTCACCCCATTGATGGTGTTGGGCTTAAGACTCTGCAGGTTTAAACACTTTGGGCTTAAAACATTACCACTCTGGGAATGGTACATGCTGGAGTGTTATTTATTGACAGCTACGAGGCATTGTCTGTGACCAGCTTGGCCACAAAAGTTGCTTCTTAAGGTTCTCTTTTTGCACAAGGTGAGGTGATATAAGATACTGCTTTTTCCACAAGGTGGGAACATGAAATGGCGTCGTAACATCTTATAAACCTGAAAATGTTGAGCCAAAACCCTGGGGTTTGACTTTTAAAATAAATAAATAAATGTATGAGTTTAAATCAGTGAACTAATTGATGCTCTATGATTGTTCTGGAGTATTTTTCCCACTTAGTGGTGATGAGATAAAATTTTGTTTAAGCAAAACATCATCAGTCCCTCCCTTTACCAGTTCTGCTTACCAGGAATGAGGAAACTCTTGGGTGTCTGGTTTTGGTTTTGTGTTTTTTAAGATTCCTACCAGTTTTTTCCTTCCTTTTCAAGATGGATAGGCTTCACTAAGAGGCAGTGTTGCCAGTGATCCCAGCTACTGAAGAAAGCAAATTAACATACAGTATGGTAATTTGTTTTCCCTGTCCTTCAGTCACAGTGAGGAGAGTCTAAATATTTCAGTGACTGAGACTTTGGATTCCCATTCCTTGCTACACAACAACAACAAAAGCTATTTATAGCAATAACAGTTTGCAGCGATACAGCAGCCTCAGACAGCTATAGGCAGCATCTCACAAATGTTAACTGCTTTTGCACTGAATGCCTCTGTGAAAACAAAGAGCACTGAGAAATAAAGATCAAAGCAAAACCAAAAGAAAGATTTTTTTATTGCTATGTTTTACTTTGCTGGCAGACCAGAGCAAAGGTTTTCTGAACATTTAAAAGATGAAAAAGGTGAAGAATCCCAGAAGCGATTTATCTTGAAGCGAGATAACTCTAGTATTGATAAAGAAGACAATCAGGTTGGTTCTCGGTTCGAGAGTTGCTGAAATTTGTTCTGTTTTTGAAGGTGGGCTGACTGATGTTGTTGTTGTTCTTTTGTTGTTGCTCTCCTCCTCCCCTGCCCTCCTGCCCCTCCCCGCCTCCTTTGGCACATGTACCACCGTGGGTGGCTCCGAGCCCCAGTGTGGCCGCTTCAGCCGTGGCAGTGTGTGGGTTTGCATGGGTGGTTTGCTTGGCGCAGGACTTGATGCATGCCCACGGGAGGGGGAATGCCAATGGCTCCGGGCTGCGTGGAAGGCTGTGTCAGTCGCATTCCTCAGTGTCTTGCCTAACTATGGCAATTGTTACGCTCCCTGTAGCTTCCTTCTTTCATTGTACCCATTCAGAGTTGGATTTCAGTATGGACCAGTGGTGAACTGATGTAGCCCAAAAAGGAGAGAGTGAAAAAAAAGTGTAAAAAAAAAAATATGCCCCAAAGATGTGATGGTGAGGCCAGGTTGATTTTTTTTTAACCATCCTAAATTATGTTTTGACCAAAAATAAGTGAGGTCTGTCTTTTACTTCCCTTCCTTCTCCTGTGCCCTCACCACCTTTTACTGTCTGTGTAATTTACTTGCTTGTGCATGTACTGTGGCAGACGTTCCCCCTTGTGTTGCCTGTGCCATAACACTACCCTAACTTAGGTGAGCTTGATGAGTAGGGGAGCGCCAGAGAAATGTGTCTGTTTGTGCTGCCTTTAAAAGCGGGTGTTGTGCTGTTTCAATCCAGTGCAAGCTGTGTATGTGGAATAGATTAACGAAAAAAAAAATCTGAAATGGTTCTGATGTGATTTGCTTTTATGAGAAAATTCTCACAGGTAAGAAGACAGCATATGCTTTCTTTGCTAGGGCTATGTTTGTGGAGGAACCAGCCAATGAGTCTCTTGTTGCCACTTCCCTTCATGTTTTCAGTAAAGGACTGATTTTTTTCTTTCCTTTTTTCACCCTTTTTTCCTTGACTTTCAGTTGTACATGGCAGCCTTGCCAGTTGTGCTGCATACAAGCTGGCTTTGAAAACAAACCCCAAGCAGTTTCAGGGTATGGTGACTGTGGGGATCAATCAAAGGAAAGCAGCATGACCTATCCCACCCAGTGCTGGGGCAGGGGGAGAAGGACCAGTCCTTGAAACCCATTTGTCAATGAAGCATTTCCTAATGGGGCTCATCTCCTCTCCTTGTTCCCATGGCACAGCCATTTCCCACACTGTGGTTTACCAAGAGGAAACATGGCCCTTCCTTTTCCAGCCAAACTTCAGTAGAGGGTTCCATACAGTGTGAAAATGGTTAAAACTGTTGTGCCCAATATCTGGGACTTCTCCTTGCACGCATAGACTTCATGGGTTTCTTCTAGGGTTTACATTTTAGCTCCAGCAGCCTAGTTACCCTCTTTCTTCCTTGAATTTTTAGGTAGCCCACCACTGCCTGCCCTCCTGCTCCTCACAGCTGGTAGGAGAACCAAGAAATACTAGCAGCTGAGAACAATGGCATTTAGACCTGGGGTGAGGACACCCTGTTTTAGGATGGTGGGTCCCCAAAAGCTGTGCAGAAAGCCTCGTTTTGGCCACCTGCTTGATGAACCCATGTGCACTATCTAGCTGGAAGTCCTCAAGCGTCCAGTCTCACAGGGTTCTTTGTGCAGGAACGACAGCTATCATTTTTGTGCTTCATTTGTTTAAGTGAACATTTATTATTCTCAGCTGACAGTTACTTAATGGCAGTTTTTAACAGCTCAACTTATATAATCCTCCTGGTTTTCTTTCTGCTCAGCAAAACAGAATTCTTCCATTTAGAGATGACAGACGAAGTAAATCAATTGAAGAGAGAGAAGAGGAGTATCAGAGAGTGAGGGAGAGAATATTTGCACAAGATGTGAGTAGTTATTTTAATTGCCTCTTTAGTGCCATACCTTCGCCGGTAGTCAGACAGTTTTGCCCCCCTCCTACAACAACACTGCAGCTGGACTTGACCTGTGGAGCTGGAGGTGACAGGGAAAGCAGATTGGCTCAGAGGGTCTTAGAGGAGCTTTAGAGGTGTGGAGGTTGGCTTCTGGAGAGTGAGGTGATGAGAGTTACAGGGAGAAGGGTAGAGGAGTGGTCAGGCCCAGCATGTTGTCTGGGGAGTGCCTATCCTGTTTCTTTAAATGTTCATATTCACATGGCCTAGGTTTATTTCCTTTTTCCTTCTGCTAGCCAAAGAGCAGTGATTTAAGTGGACACTCTCAATAATTTCAGATAGCTGTGTTATTTTATATTTCTTTCAAGGTGGATCAAATCTTTATAAGTGTCCTTCTGCAGAGACTCCTTATGGGTTTTGGTTTTTTGGGCCAATGCTGTAGCATCAAGACACTGAGAACAAAAAAAGGGCAGAGGTTAAAAATGGAGTTGCATAATTTTTTTGAAATGACTGATTAAAGAACTGTATTTCTACCATCAGAATGAGTAAGTCATGCTGTTGATGATAATATTCTGAAAGGAATAAAATTAAGCAGACATTAAAATTCTTGCCCTTACCAAAAAATCAGAACTTGCATAACAAGGTATATTGCTAAGGAAAATACTTAAATCTGAAACATCTGTGAGCAATACCTGATGTTCCTGAAAAAAAAGAAGAAAATCACAATTTGCTATAACACTGTAATGATGAGGTAATAAAAGAGGGGAAAAAAAAGAAAAAAGTCAGCATTTTAATGTTTCATTTAATATCTCAGTGGGAGTTCTGCCATTTAGGAGGAATATGGGAATAAATCCAATTAAAACTATTTTTGAAAATCATATTGGGCAGTGTCCTTTTAAATTAAAACTGTTCATGTGTTGCAGGGCTAATAGTACTATTAGGAATTGTACGTATCCAAGTTGGGTTTTTTTGGCAGAATACACGGTATAGTTTTAAGGTGTGTGTTGTCTCACTTGCTTCTTAGTAAATAGCTAGTTACATCTAAATGTTTTTAGCTTTACTTTTTCCTGGCTGAGATGATTCCAGTAAAAGCAGAGACCCTTGAGTTTCTGTTTTGCTTTTAGCATGTTGGCCTGAGGTAAATACTGTCCCAGGCTATTCATGGTGGAATTGCCAAGTTGTTCAAGAGCTGCAAAAGCCACTTTAGAACAAGTTTCTTATATGAAATGTAAGAGGTTTTGACACATTACAAAAGAGCTTGTGCAAAACCAAAAAAAAAAAAAAATCTTTGGGTTTTGATGCAGAATTCAGATGAGGCAAAATGCTAAAAATTACCAAATGGAAAGTTATTTCCAAAATAGTGCAGTTTCTGTCACAAGCTGCAGCTAGAAATGCCAGGTTGGGAAACAGAGGTGGCTGGAAAAGTGTGCTGAAAGTGGCTACATAGTGTATTGCTGCTGTTATCTTTAGATATTTGAGTTCTAAAAACAGGCAAGTGGAGAGCATTTGAATTGTCCACAGCAGGAGGCTATTGTGGTTCATTGGGTTGGCATTTTCAAGTGGCAGGACCTAAGTGTGCTTTTTGGCAGTCATTTTAAATGGAATTGGGAGGGAGCATTTTTAAAGATCAGCCGTGTTAGATATCTCTCCCTCTCTCTCTCATATCCACTCCTTTGCTCTCTCTCTCTCTGCTATTGCAGGTGTTAGTGAGCATCATAGTGCAATGAGTTTCAGCAAACTGTATGTTTAATGTCAAAGGCAATCTATGTTTTATTTGAGCTTTTTTGGGTGGAGCACCCCTTGCCAGATTCAAGGTGTTTTTAGGATGATGCCAGTGGTTATGGTGGTGGACAATGTATTTTTTCAATTTTAGGAAAGAGAGAAATGGCTTCCTGTTATAGATAGTCTCTTACTGCATGTAAGACTGTGAAGTTTTAAGGCCCTCTGCAGTCATTAATTAATCCAATTCTCCCCAGGTTTGTGTGAGGTAGGTACCTAAGCCTTGTTACTCTGCAAATTACAGATACAGACAATCAAAGATGGATTAATCATGTGGTATTTTTATTACATCTATACTGTTTACACTGCTGTTGTCACACCTTTATCCATGCCTTGCTTGTGAATCTTAGCAAATGGATCACAGATACATCACTTCTAATTAGAGTATGCATGAAGAGAGCTTGCATGGGAGGTCTTCAAAGTGCAGCCATTAAGGTCAAGAGTACTGCTGTAACTTGTTGCATCCAGCAGCACCACCCCCACTTCCCCCCCAAAGATGTTTGAGACACTCAAAACTCTTTAGATGACAGCCCAAGAGTGAGAACTTTAAACAAAACTTATAAGGAAAAGGCAGGCTGGTTGCAGGGGCAAAAAATTCCATGCATGTTTCAAGTGCTGTGAAAAATGTCTTAACCTGAACCCCACATACCAATATAAAACGCCTGTCCTTCCTTTGGTCTTGCAGAACTCTAGTGCACCAGATCGCTTCATTTCCAAGTGGGAAGATTTTAACAAAATAAGTATGTTCATGAGTAATGCCATCACTATGATAGTCCTTAGGATGATTACTCTAGTATTAGTCAGTTTAGATTGTACTTTCTGGCAAGTTTTCCATCTGCAGTGTTGGCTATCACAAATTTTGACAAGGAGAGCTGGAAGTTTTAATGACTTCTGTCTCAGCAAGATTGAGAAGCATGTCAGTTAGATATTTTAATAAAAGCATTGGTGAAGAAATAAATAGTTAATAAACATGATCATTCCAGCTCACTGAAATAAGAACTACAAAGTGCACCTCAAATTTTTCAGGCTGCTAAAAAATGTTTAAAAAGTGCAGGCTGAGCTCTGTTATGCTCAAAACTGTTTTCAAGGGGTTTTTTAATTGAAAAAGTTACTTTATTGGAAACTTAGTTTTAAAACAATTTGTGAATTTTACAGCCAAGTACACTGGAGCAGAGGACCTGCACTGTCTGGGTCTTGCAGGGAAGTTCCTTGTCTGAACTGCTTTAGTTGCGTTTGGGAAGTTGAGGAGTTACTGTCCCAGAAGGACAAAGAACATACAGGAATAAAAAAAAGTTATTTCCCTGTATGTAGAGAATCCCAAATGCATGCATAAATAATACATGATGTTTGGCTTTGAAGCATGCAGAAAATTTATGGTAAAGACTAGCAATCAAATTACATGGGGGAAATTTCATTCTTCAAGGTTAGTGCAATGTATAACCTCATGAACCAGAGTCACACTAGGACCATTCATTGTTCATAAATGCATTCTCTGGGAATCATTCTGTATTCACTGAATAATGTAGATGTTTTCTTACTTACACAAATGCTAGAATTGCCCATGGTACACATGGAACTTATTAAAGGAAATACACCATGCTGTTTATTTTCTGTTGTCAACTGTAGTGGCTATTTTTCACTAAGGAATGTATTCTAAAGAACCAGATCCTTTAGGTACAGTTGGTTATGATTCCTCTAGTTAAGAAAACTCAGAGAATCTTTATCAGTCTCTGATTAAAGAGAGTATGTAGACGTGGCTTCAGCCTGTTCTATCCCTCTAGTGTAGAAAGATTAGGAAGAAGAGGGCTTAAAGTTAGTAAAAACAAATCAAAGACATGCCTTGTGCTGGCCACCATAAACCTATAGGTACTAAAACTCCTGTACTGGTGTACAGAGACTTTCTTTGTGGCTGCAGATCAAATAACAAGCATTAGTTGGAAGCCTGAGATCTATCATGTCTTGTTAACTGACAAGAAAATTATTACCTGATTGTATCCACTGCAGGATATTGCTGCATGTTAATAGTTATCTGTGTTTGCTAATATAATTAAAAACAAGAGCAGCAACTCTCAGTATTTCTGCACTGGCAGAACTGATGCACATTTTCCAGGTGAGGCTTTAAAAGGTTCTTGGAAATTGGAAAAGTGAAATACTCATTTCATTAATAACAATTAGTCATACAGAGCATCCTAATGGAAATCTTGCACACAGAGATCTCCAAGGACACTAACTTGTAGGTAATCTTACATAATTTTTTTATCTGGTAGGTTTGTTGCCAGTCTGTTTAAAGGGTAAACAAGAGTCAAGTGTTTTAAGGATTTTTTTGACAACATCTCTGCTGGCTATTTAAGCTTTCCTGGTGCTTTAAATTGTGCACTGTTGATGCTATACATCAGGAAGGTGAGTCCTGAACTTGTAGTAGCTAAATTTCTATCCTGAGCTGCTTAGCCACTTCATTTTTAATAGTAAGAATAAAATAATAAAAAAGTGCCTGTCTTCTCTGCCTCTCAGCCTCACAACTGTACTGAAGAAAAATTTCCAGAAAATGTGTTGGCACAGTGTGCCACTGGGCCAACATCATCAACCGAGAAGACAAATTATTATGGACTCTGTTTAAAGTCTGTAATACACTTGATAGTGTTCCCCATCAAGACACTGAGAAGGAAGCAGACCTTTCTGCTTGCTTGATAAAATATAAATCCCAGATATTTATTCTGTTTATGCCCCAGTCTCTTTAAAAACTTTAATAAAATAAAATAAATACAGACAAGTGCATTCCACGCCCCTTTGCTTTTGTAACTTTGTGGGTACACAGTCCAGTACTCTGGTCTAAGCAAAGGTTTTTCTGTAAGAATAGCTGTAATCCTGTGCTTTGGAATGTGACTACACAGAAGTCAATGTACAGATGTCCATCATGAATCTTGAGATGATGACCCCACAGCTGAGGTGGTACAAGCCCGTGGGGTGATTTCAGTATGCTTTTCTGGGGCTTTTTGCTTCAGCACAGTTAGACCATGCTGAATTCTGCACATTTGTTAATGAAACCTGGTACCTGAGTTAAGTACATAAAATGAGGGAAGACACAGTGTTGTAGCTGTACAAAGGATCCCACTGGTTTTAGGTGAAAGAGTTGGTATCTTCTCTTAGCCTGAGGTGAAACCCTAGGTCTGCTGTAGATGGTGGGAGTTTGATTCCTGTCAATGGAGAACTTGTTTCTGATGTCTTGAAGCTTCGTGCTAAGGAGAAACATATTGCCCCTGATGCAGGCCAGTGCCTTGCAAATTTAGCAGGAGTGCAAGGTGGGAGCACACCTGGGAAACCCACAGAACTGTCAAATGTTCCCTAATGTGGATTCTGAGCGGGTGAATTACACTCTTAATGAGAAATTGTAGTGCCATCTCAGGGATAAATTTCTTCCTTTTGTAGACTGATGGGGCAGCACTAGCTGTGGTGTCAAGGGAAAACTTTTTCCAGGCATCAGCTGGAGCATTAAAAATGAGCAAGGTGTTGCTTCTCGTGTTGGCCAACACTCTTGAGTGGGTCATTAGCTCACCCTCTACAAAACAGAAATATCCAAAACCTTTGCCTATTCCATACTGTTAAAATTTGACACAGTTAACGATGGTGTTTTATTATTCTTTGTGCTGAGTCCTGTGGTTGCAGAACTAATGACTATGATCTCTGGTGTCCTCCTTCCTTTACACGCCTTCTGTTTAAATTCAGTGCAAGTGCTGACTATTCTTTCCTCTGTACCTCATCGGGATATAATCCAGTGACAGCTATGAGGCTTTTTCTGTAGCAAACATGAAATAGAAGGGAAATGAAAAAGTCAAAGAGGGAGAATTATTCATGGGAAATTGAGCACAACTTCATTTCTCTGCATAAAAAGTTAAGTAATTCTGAAAGAGCTATACACTTGCCCATAGGATTTATTTCTTCTGAGTCCTTCACCTTTTTTTGGGATCTAAGTCCTCCAGCAGAGAGCCTTCTTGCTATGATTGTTGTTAATATTATCATTAAGAAGGTTATTATCATTTTATGTCTCAATGTTCCCTCTCCAACCATAAAATGTGAAGTCACACACTATTTCTAAGTACTGCAGTATCTTCTCTCCCTTTGAGGAACTTTGTAAATTCTGCATGCTTTCCTTCTGTTTGTCCTTCCTACCTACAGCTCTTTGCTATCCTGCAGTTTTATTTCGAGGTGCTAAGCCAGACCAGTGGAACCTTATATTATGCAGGAAAAACATTTTTTCCCTTCAAATTGCCAGTATTTTGCACATAGTGCCGTCTCCAGATCTCTTGACTGAGAAGTTTCAGTTTGTTCCCAAACTGAGACACCTCATTGGCAATGTGTTGTAATGCATGGAATTTGTTTTACTGGCCTGACCTTATTCTTGACCTTTTTTCCCCCTCTTGTCTTCCGCAAATGCAAATGATGCATGAATTGAAATCCTCTTAAGCCTGATCAGGGGAGGTAATTCTAAAATCAAGGAAGAAATTGGAACAGCAGAGCATATCTAGAACGTCTGATACAATGCCTTTTTTATTTTTCAGTCAGTTTGCTCCCAGGAAAACCTTTTAGTGGAAAACAGGTATAAATAGCTTTATTTTGTGTGTGTGTGTGCTAAACTTAGCTGTTTCTCTTAATTTTTTTTGTCTATCTGTAGTTCTATACTTATTTATCCTAATGTGAATACTGTTGAGCAAATTTGCAGTCCATATTATCTGCAGTGGTTTTGTGCTTTAAGAGGGGGTAATAGAGCTTGCCTTGCAGTATGGTAAAGGCGATAAAGTATTACTGCTGCTTTCCTGAGGCTTTTGCATTTCAGTTTAAAAAGCAGATTTGGGGGGGGTGGGGGGGGGCACACCTAAGCTTTCATTTCAAGTGACCATTCTGTCTCTGGAGTGCCTTTAGTATTTAACTTACTGATCTTTAAAAAGCACTCTAGCAGTGGCTGGATGAGTGTATTTATGAAACACCAGGCTTGGGTGTCTGTTGTTTAACCTGCTCTCCTGTGGGACTGAGCAGCAGCACTGATGCCACTTGTTGCTTGTGAAGGCTCACAAGTTCCACACAAGTTCCTGCTTTACTGCTGCAGTGTAGTAATGAGTTGGTGATATATGAGCTCACTGTTACTTTGCATTACTGCATGATAGTTCTTGTGAATGTTATTTTTGTTATGTTACATCCACTCAAAGCAAAAGGGAAGGGTAAACTGTGTTTGAAATGTTGAATATGAAGTGTTGGCTCCATAACAGCTGTAAAGTAGGTTAACTGTGTTGAAAATCTTAAAAATTGTGCACCTTTATGGCATATAAGGATTTTAACCAAAAGTGGGGAATTTAATTGGTGACTGTTTGAGCAGTGCTGACCCAAGTCTGTCCTGCACAGGTTTAAAAACTGTTTATCACCCCCCCCTTGAGTAAGGGGAGGCTCTCTCTCACAGTATTTTGTTCTCTGTCCATCCTTACATCTGTCAGATGCATTTATGGGTGAAGCTGTTCTCATAGAAAGTGACTCCACAGTAATGGTACAAACCAGCTTTTCCGATGGACACTTCTGTAAGTGGAATGAGGGAAAGCCCTCAGGAGATCATGGCCACTGTCATCTAACCACCTAATATTCTGAGGGCCAAGGGTATTTCCTCAGCTGCTGCTTCTGTGTTGTGACTATGGAGATATGTTTTATCAAAACAAATCAAAATTCTGACAGAGGAACCCATAAAGCCTAAAGCAGATGCTCCCATAAACCTGTTTTTCCCTCTCAGGGGAGATGAGGGCAACAAAGATGACACAGTTGTTCACACTTCCAAGTCAGCATGGAAAGCACTCAGAGGCTGCACTGCCAAGGGTAGGGTGGGTACCTTTATGGGATAAACCATGAACTCCATAGCCTGGCCTCCCCTGGTTTATGCATTCAGTCCCACACCTGTGTGCAGGAGAATGTGGTCAGTTCTGGTATTTGCACGTGGTTTGCTGTCCTTGAACCTGGGAGCTGACTGACCAGCTCAGTGTGAGGATGCATACCCAAGTGGAGACCACTAAAAGGCCAGGTTGGAAACTGTGCTGCCTGCACTGTTGCTGTCCTGAGGGAAACTTCAGCTGCGTTCTGCAGAACACTGCTTTTTCTTGCTGCATGCCCTACAGCCTTTGATCAGGTGAAGCACTTAAACTTGTACTTAGCTCTGTGCACATGAGCAATCCTGTCAATTGGCTGTGTTGAAAGTTAGGTGTATGTTTAAGTGCTTTGCCTATCTTTTTTTGTCAGAGGATCTGAGCTTTGCTCTGAGCTGCAAAGACTTCCGAGCGACTTAGCAAGTACTTAAAATTACATATGCAGTATTTTGCTGGCTTGCATTTTTTAATGTTCTTATTAGGTGATATTTTTATGAATTTGCCTTTGGATGGAATGGTTCCTTAGCTTCTGAGAATTACCTGTCTCGGTAACAGGAAATGCTAAATTGGCCCTCAGCCTCGCTGGATGTTGTTTCTTATGTTCATTTGACTGTGTACAGCTATGGGAGAGGGAGGAGGGGGCATTTTTAGCCTTGGTTCTTTAAACTGAATCTAACACAAACTGAAAAATGTATCTAGAAATCGAATAAAACTTTACAGATCAGATAAATTTGAATTACCATGTTTTTAAGCATAATCTTTCTTTTCATTTTTCAGTAGGCTGTTGGAAGACAGTAGCATATGCAATGATATGCATAAGAAAAGACAGCTGTTTAGGTTTGTATGAATTTTATTTAATATTTATTTCCCAGTGCATCCCACTTGTGATTCTATCTGCGTCCTTGCCAAGGCACACCTTGACATGTGTGGGTATGTCAGTGTGCTGGTTGGAAAGGAGCATGGAGAACAGAGTTCTACCCCACTCTTCCCATGTTCTCTGAATGAAGATGTAACAACAGGACCCTTTGCTTTGGGTCACTGCCTCAGGAGCCACATGAGATTTTCAGCTGCCTGGCTGCTCAGACTGTGACTATCTGGGAGAGATTGAAGAGGCTCCATTTTTCCTGGAGTATATATGACAGGCACGTTTCATAGACTAGTGCCCAGACTGACCTTTTTTCCTTTTGTTGTTTCATTAAAAGCTGAAGTAAAAGTACATTGAAGCAGAACTGATTGAAGTTCCCTTATTTGAAGTAACTGTGTTTTGAAACTTTTTTGTGTTAACTTTGTCTTCTCAACTCCAATTCCTTCCACACATTCAGATGCATCCCATATCCCAAAGAGCATCCCAAGCAGGCCAACATGAAATCAGTAAAATTTGGTCCCTATTTTCATGGAGAGCAGTTCTACCAATTGACACACTAAATCAGTTGGAAGTCTGAATCTGGTGATGACAGTGTTCTTCTGAGAGTTTTAGAAAGGTTGTTTTCCCCCACCATGAGCTCTCACACTTTCAGTTCACATCAACCAGGCTTCTTTAAGAGTCAGTCATCTGCCACAAGTCTTATGCAGAGGAGGCAGAAGGAACGGATGCTTTCAGAAGTATGCCCTTCATCTATTAAGGCACATGGACAGCAAGGCACATACTCACTAGATGTCTGTGTGCATTGCCGTTTGCATATGTCTCTTCAAACCTATATCATTTATCTTACATAATTTTTCACTGGGAGGAGAAATGGATGTGTGAGGAGAAAATTTGATGTGTGGTTGCTGAGTCTGCATGTCATCACAGCAGCCACTGAGGAGATGGAGAGATTACACCAGATAAGGAGCAGAGCTGGAGCATCTGCTTCTGTACCCCCTGACCACAGGCTGCAGGCAAAAAAAGCTTCCTCCTTGCTTTGGGTTAGTCTTGATGACCTGAGAGTCTTGGATTGGGCATGCAGGACTTAGGAGGTGTCTACACACACACTCTTAATAGCTGATGTCTGATTTTGGGGAACTAAAAGAAATTTTTTGTAACCCAAAGCTGCAGATAATGGGGATACAATAGCATTCTGTTTCTCTCCCTCTTTTTCTCTAGCATATAAATAGAAGATAATTGTTAATTTCTAAGCACAAGATTACAAAAGATTCTGTAAATACTGTACTTTGGAGATTTTTTCTTTCCTATTGAATCTTAAAGGATGATTTATTTTTAAATTCTTTTTCCTTGTTTTGTGTTGTTGCTTCTGTGCTGTTTCTCTTCATGCTTTCCCACTGTGTGGGTCTAGCAAAGGTCAACAGGTTTATACTGCTAATCACATTTGAGAGGCTCTGTTACAGGCGAGGAATGCAACAGCTTGATCCCATCTTTGACACGCTGCCTCCTTCATGTCCCAAATGACACAGCTCAGCAGGTTCTCCAAAAAAAAAAAAAAAGCAGGAACCAAGTCCATAAGGAAAAAGAGGACAAAAAAAAATTAAATAGATACAGTCCCATCCTCTTGATCTGTAGAAAGAGTTTTGAGCCTGCAAGCTGTTATACTGCAATATAGGACAGAGGAGTGGAAAATGTATTTTAAAATCCTTCCAAATACAGTGTCATGAGCACCACTTGGGATAACAGTCATGGTGCACTAAGTCGTGGTAGGAATTTTGGTTGTCATTTTAGCAGTACAGTGTTAGTAGTTTACCATAAATAAGCCAAATTCTGATCACAGAATTTACAGTGTTATTACTCACAGTACACTGGGTGCTCTACAACTTTTCAAGGACAGGCAGCCTCTACCCAGGAAATTTCATTGTTATTCTGTGCAGAGTGGAAACAAAGTAAACTGACTGGTGGGTCTCTAAGTGAAGCATTAGCAGTGAAGAGATTGGGGTCACACTGAGAGGACACGTTTAGGCAAGGCTTTGGATGAGCTCAGAAAGCTGATAATGACTGGGAGCATGCTGCTATAGAAATAAGGATATAAAGACAAAGGTAGAGTGCAGGCAAAGTTGGTGAGAAAAACATCACAGTGGATGCAAAGTGAGAAGTGGTTAGGGGCTTGCTGAGGGAAGAGAACACTCAATGGGCAGCAGAAATGCTGCATCAGTGCTGCATAATACCGCTGTGTCAGCCCCATCTGGTAAAGTGCTCTGAGGAGATATCCAGAAGGGGAGGGTGGTAAGTGCCGTGCATGTAAAACGGGCGTAGCTGTGTTTACATGCTGAAGGCAGATAAGTATGGAGGTCAAATCCCATTTCAGACCTGTTTTTGTAAAGGCAGAGTATCTCCTTTTTCTTTATTAGTGTTGTTGCAGGGTACCTGAAGATAGACTTTGCCTTGACATGGTTTTATTTGTGTATAAATCTTGGTTTCATGATATCTGTAGGGGCAACAGAGACAGCATTGGGAAGACATCTGGCAGTCGACAGAGCAGTACAGAGAATGAATTGAAGTGGGCAGACCACCAGAGGCCATGGAGCAGCACAGACTCGGACAGCTCAAATCGAAATTTGAAGCCAGCCATAACAAAGACAGCCAGTTTTGGTGGGATAACCGTCCTGACAAGAGGAGATAGCTCATCAAGCAACAGAAGTACCGGCAAACTGTCTAAAACAGGTAGCTAGTACTGAATTGGGTTCACAGTGCTTCTTGTTGTGTGGTGATAAATGGCTGTGATGGTGCTTGTCTGAGTATGCTCTGTCACACGATGGTTTGTGTTGGAAGGGACCTTCAGAGACCAGGTGGTCTGACCCTCATGGTTGGAGTAGATGGCAAAATACATAAACAGTTGTGTTTCCTGTACACAAGAGATGTGTATGTCCCTCTGTGGATGCTAGTATCGGGGTACCTGCTCCTGAGTTTTTAGGAATCAAGAAAAAATGCAGTGCATGAGGTTTGCAAATCATAGGAGAGCTAGGCTTTCCCTGGAGTATAGTAATACATGCCATACACATACTGCACTCGTAGCCTGAAAAGGTAATACTCCTTTCAGAGAAAGCACAGATTTTACCTTTTTATTAATCTTAATATTTTTGAGTTGTGAATAATTAAATGTCAGATATCTGAGGAGAAATACAAGAACATTTTGTTGTCATTGCTGAAGTAAAACCCTATCTGTATTTTGGAGTACAGCGTCTGCCTTGGTGGTGGCAGTTGAGGCCATGGTGGATTCACAGAGGTCCCACAATCTCTCAGTTATCTTGTTTAGTTCCCATTAGACAAAAGCTTCCTTTAAGGAGACTATGAATCTGGTGGGAATTCTGCATTTATTTGCATTAACTTTATGAGTACATTAACATATGAGTGAGTCACAGGATCTGGATCTAAGTAATTTCAAGCTATGCCATTAAGCTATTCTATTATACTTTAGGTTGAAAGTGCATAATAAATAATGAGGCCATCAGATGATTCCATCAGATTGGTTCATTTGATACCTATAGTACAGGACAAATGGTAATCAATACGTTGCACTTAGTGCTCTTTCAGCTTGAGAGTGTTTTATGGATGGTACTTAATTTACACCCAGTTTATCAAACCTGGGTTGATCAGATTTCACTCCTATCCCCCAAATTTTACAGTAGCTTTTGTGTGGTTCAGGATGCTGGGGAATGGAGTTTTTAGAATAAACAAATAAAGCCATTGACATAGTAATTACATTTTAGATCTCTGGAAGTTGAACATTGTTTAAAATTTTAGACAATCATAAAGTCACTTGAGTTGACAAGACCTTTGAGGTCATCAAGTCCAACCATTAGCATAACATGGTAAGTGCACCCCTAAATCATGCTCCCAAGGGTGACACTTACATGTGTTTTGGGATGGTGACTCAGCCATTTCCCTGGACAGTCTGTTACAATGCTTGACAATTTTTTCACTGAAAAAATTTTTTCCTAGTATCCAGCCTAAACACCCCCTCTAGAAACTTGAGGCCATTACCTCTCATCCTGTCACTTGTTCTCTGGAAGAAGAGAGCAAGCCCCACCTTGCTACAACCACTTCTAATGTAGTTGTAGAGAGCCAGAAGAACCCTGAGCCTCTAAGCCAGTTCTCTCAACCACTCCTCATCAGACTTGTGCTCCAGACCCATTACCAGCTCCATTGCCCTTCTCTGGACATGCTCCAAGCTCCTAATTGTCCTTCTTGTATTGTGGGATCCAGAACTGGACACAGGATTTGAGGTGTGGCCTCACCAGTGCCAAGTACAGGGGGACAATCGGTGCCCTGGTCCTGCTGAACACACTATTGCTGATACAGGCCAGGATGCCATTGGCCTTCTTGGCGACTATGCTGGCTCGTACCCAGCTGGCTGATGACCAACACCTTCAGGTCCTTTTCCACTGGCAATTCTTTCCCAAGCCTGTAGCCCTAAATGGGGTTGTGACCCAAGGACAGGATCTGGCACTTTGTCTCAATGAATGACAAAATTAGGCTCAGCCCATTGCTCCAGCTTGTCCAGATCTTTCTGTAAAACATTTTTACCTCCAGCAGATCAACACTCCCTTCCAGCTTGGTATCATCTGCAAGCTTCCTTAGAGGATGCATTTGATCCCTTTGTCCAGATCATGGATAAAGACATTAAACAGGACTGGCCCTAGGAAGCACCACTTGCAATCAACTTCCAGCTATGTGTAACTCCATTCACCCCCACTCTGGACCTGGCCTTCAGCCAGGGGAAACTGTACACCCATCCTGGCGATGAGCAGCTAGATTTTCCAGGAGAGTGCTGTGAAAAACAGTGTTGAAAAATGGCTTTTCTGAAGTCCAGGTAGACAACAACCATAACCTTTCCCTCGTCCACTAAGTGGGTCACCTTCTCATGGGAGATTGGGTTAGTTAAGTAGGACCTGCCTTTCATAAACTCATGCTGGCTGGGCCCTGTTGCCTGATTGTCCTGTACATGCCACATAATGGCACTGAAGAGAGTCTGCTTCATAAGTTTTCTCACACCAAAGTCAGACTGATGGGCCTTTAGTTCCCCACATGCTCCTTGTGGCTCTTCTTGTGGGTGGGTGTCACATTTTCTAGCTTCCACTCAACTGGGGCATCCCACTTGGACTGCTGATAGGTGATGAAGAGTGGCTCAGTGAGCACTTCCACCCTTTCCCTCAGAACCCTTGGGTGGATCCCATCTGACCTCATAAACGTGTGTGGGTCTAAGTGGTGTAGCACATCACTAACTTAGTCCTTGGATTATGGGAGCCTTGTTCTGCTCCCTGTCTCTGTCTTCTGGCTTTGGGGATTGGGTATCCAGAGAACAGGTCTAGATATTACAGGCTGGGACAAAGAAGGCATTAAGTACCCTAGCCTACTCTTAATCTTTGTGACTGTGTTTCCCCCTCAACCAATAAAGGATGGAGATCATATTTAGCCTTCCCTTTGTTGCTAATATGTTTATAAAGACATTTTTGTTGTCTTCTACAGAAGTAACCAGATCAAGTTCTAGCTGAGCTTTGGTCTTTCTAATTTTCTCCTTTCATAACCATTTTTTACCCTGATCCAGGGTGGCTGTGTTCCATGCTGGCTTGTTTTCTAGCACATGGTTACAACCTGCTCCTGTGCTTTTAAGACATCCTTTTTGCAGAATGTCCAGCCTTCCTGGACTCCTTTGTCTATCAGGACTGCCTCCCAAGGCCAAAATTTCCCTTTGAAAGTCCAAGGTAGCCAATCTGCAGACCCCTTTCCCTACTTCTCTGAGAATTGAAAACTGTCTGTTTTGTGATCACTGTGCCCAATAAAACCTCCAGCCATCACATCACCCACAAGTCCTTCTTTGTTCACAAAAAAAATGCCCAGTGGGTCACCTTTCCTAGCTGGGCCCCTCACCAGCTGTGCCTGGAAGTTATCTTCCACACACTCCAGGAACCCCTCAGACTGTTTCCTCACTGCAGTGTCCTATTTCCAGCAGTTATCTGGTAAGTCAAAGTCATGTGCAAGAACAAGGGCCAGTGATTGTGAGACTTTTCCCATTTGCTTATAGAACATTGCATCTGTTTCTTCATCTTGCTTGGGTGGTCTATAACAAACTCCCACCCTGACATCTGCTTTGTTGGCATTTTCTCTGATTTCTACCCATAAACACACAACACTTTCATCACTGCTGTCAAGCTCTAGACAATCAAAACACTCTCTAACACATAAGGCATATCCCACCATACATCCTTCCTTGTGTATGCCTTCAGCGGCATCTCCAGCCATCCACTGCAGCCCTCCCCGTGTGCAAGTCATCCCACCATGTGATGGTAGCTGTGTCACAGCTATCCTGCAGTGCAGTTGCTTCCAGCTCCTCCTGTTTTGTTACCCATGCTGTGTGCTTTGCCATAGATGCCCTTAAATTGACTTACTGATCCTGCCCTCTTTTTGTGGGAAGAAGCTGTAATTCCTACTGATCAATCTCAGGCACTGCTTTAATTTCTAACACATCAATAACCTTTGTGTCTTCATTGCCACATGCATCTCTATCCCCTGCCTCCACTGGGATGTCAGACCAAAGAACGTCACTAGCACATCATCCCTTAAACACTGGCATGCTGCAGAACATCCCTTTTGCTTTTCAAATCTAGTTTAAAGACCTGATAACTCCTCTGCAAGGATACTTTACCCCCTTTTGACAGACAGGTGTAACCTGTCTGTCTAGTCTTCATGTTCTGTAAACCAACCCATGGTTAAAACCCCAAAAGTTCTGTCAATGACACCAGGCTCAGAGTCTGTTCTTAATCTGCTGGCTCTTCCTCCATCAGTCCCTGCAACTGGAAGGGCAGAGGAGAGCACTGCTTTTTTCTTCCGATCCCTTAACCAATCATCCCAAGGCCTTGAAGTCTCTTGATTGCCCATGGACTTTTTGTTGGGACTTCATTGCTGCCTAACTGAAAAATCAGTAATAAATAATGAACTGAGAGCTGTCTCAGAGTAAAACAGTTTTCTTTTCATATCTTTAACTCTGGCATCAAGGAGGCAGCAGACAACCCCGAGAAGTGAGTCTAATCAGCATATTGGGCCTTCTGTTCCCTTCAGAAGCAAATCTCCCATGATCATGACCCATCCTTTGCTCTATATGGAAGCAGTTTTGATGCAGGGAGCAATCTGAATTAACCTCCAACCAAGTGAACCTCCATCCTTGCTGTTGTTTGGTTCCCCTTGCAGAGCCTCACATCTGTTACCCAGGGCCTCTGAGACAGTGAGATAACCGCACAGGAGACCTGCCTGCTGTGCTGTGCAGGAGCTTGTTGCCATTGCCCCCTGTCTCTTCATCCCTGTGTTCAGCCAGGTGGAGAGATGACAAAATCCTCCCTATCATGTGTACTGTCTTCCTTACTGCCCATAAGGAAGGCAGGGTGCAATTTCAGTGTGTATGTAGTTCTGAAACTACACTCTAGTGTATTTTTTATTTGAATATAGACTAAATAAGCTATACAGTGGGGCTTGAATTTTGGAATAGAGCATGGTTTCACTTCCAGATTTCTTTGCTTCCCATGAATATTTGAATAGCATCAGAACTGAATTTGATGTGCAAGGATTAAGGAGGAAGCACAGGCTCTTGCTATACTTTTTTTTTTTTTGGCTATCATTTTACCTTAAGTAGAGTGCAGGTAAATGTATTTCATTGCAACATTGTGTTGCAG